ATGCTTCCCACCCCAGGCCGCCACACTCTCTCACCAGGTGGAAGACTCTTCCCTTGTTCCATGGCCCCCAGCTTGTGGTTGGGGGCCTGGGGGGGAGGGGGGCCGGCACACCAGGTCTCCACTGCACCGTGGCTGGGTTTGCTGTGGTTCTGTCTGCAGTGTGAGCAGAGGAAACACGCTGTGAGGGAGGCCGCAGGGCCCCGTCCGCTCTCAGCAGCTTTGGCAAACGTTAGGCAGCGGCCGTGAGCCCAAACACAGTGCACTTGACCCGGTCTGGCCCTATTCCTGCCAGGCACGCGTAATGGCCTCTGTGTCGCGGCTGAGTCGTTGAAGCCCGAAGGCAGGTGACTTCACCAAGACCACCCAGCAGCTGGCAGGGCAGTCAGGATCGAACTTCACTGCATTCTAGGACCACACGGCCCAGCCCCGTCCCCGGGAGCGTCAGTTCCGGGGCCGGGGTGACGCTGAGCCAGGCCCCCACCCCACTGCCTAACTCGCAGCACCCCCTCCGCCTCCCTGTGCGGCGGGGAGCCCGGGTCTGTGCCCGCGAAACAGCCCGCCTCTCTACAAAAGGGAGTCCTAAGACACGGTACAGAGAGACCGTGGAACAGGACAGAAACATCCATGATCCTGACCTCAGCTGGGCCCTAGAGAGAGGGGCAGGCCCCGTCCCCCGTCCCCTGCCCCCAGGCACACCGGGGTGCACACAGGTGCACGGCCCTGGCACGCCCTGCCAGGCACACGCGGCTCACCCAGCACGTGCCTGGCATGACAGTAGGGGCTCAATCGACGCTCGGTGAATTCCCAGACACCCGCGTGCCCAGAGATGCTGGAAAACTCACCGCAGACATCCAGATACACCGACACACACAGCAAACGCGCCCTGTGCCCAGCCCCCGTTCTGCACCTTGGTGCCTGCCTCTCCCCTGGCCGGGGGGGCCACCCCAGCCTTCCGGGGGACGGGGGAGGCCACGGAGTCTTTGAGGCTCCACAAACCAGCGGCAAACTGCAGCGGGAGTCCCCCAGGGGCAGCGGGGCTTTGAACCAGTGGCTGGCGCCTGGACGGGGTGGACTAAGGGGACTTTGCAGCCCGGAGCCTAAAGAGCTGAGGTTTGGGGCAGTTTGAGGTCGGAGCGTGTGTCGGGAGGTGTCTCCCCTTTGTGAACTGACCCCTCCCCCACCAAAGTCCCACAGGAAGGTCCCAGCACAGGGGCGGGCAGGTGTAACCGCCGACACGCCACGGAGCTGGCGCTGGGCAGGAAATCAGCTACCATTGGGCGGCAGCCTGATCTACAGCAGGAGAAAACACCACGTTTTTCACCGAGAGAGTGACCCCCAAAATGAAGGAAAGCGAAGTGTCAGCTTCCAGAGCTGTGGCCGTCACCACCGGGGACTCTCAGAATCGCGGACGCAGAGATCCGGGCTCAGCGCCCAGGAATTCCAATCCGGCAGGCGCGGCCCGGAGCCCGGGATCTGCATTTTACCTTTCCCAGGTGATCTGCCCACAGGGGCTCAGAATAAACAAATTTTGGGAACAGTGTCACCGAGCAGCCTTCACGACCGTATCCGGTTGGGACCAGCCCCCGCCGGCCGACATTCACATGCTCAACCCCCCACCCCCGCACTGGACAGCAACCCATATCCTGGCCGGGCCGAGCCTCTGGCTGTGAATGCACGGCCGGGCACAGCCATCCGAGGCCCAGCAGTGTAGACAGCTGGCTGTTTTCCTTGTCTACCCGGATTTCTTTACGGCCCCTCTGCACCAGACGCATCGGCTGCTCTGGAAAGAAAGGGCGAAGGAGACTTGGTCTGAACTTGGGACGGCAAACGTGAGGGCTGGTGAGCCCAGGGCCTGGCATTGCCGGCTGGCAGGAAGGACTCCTCCTCTCTGGACACCAGGCTTTCCCTTCCCGACACGGCGCTCTGCCTGAGTTGGGACCTCAGGGCCTTCTCCCCGGCACTCCGGACGCACGCACCCCACGCACACCTGGCATTCTTCTACGCGCACGCGGTCTCGTTCAGTCCTCACGGGCACTGAAGACTCAGGCACGGGATCGTCCCCACTTGACAGACAAGCGCGGCGCCCGGCCCAAGGTCACTCAGTCCCCAGGCACACGACCGGCCCCAGCAAGCAGCAGGTGGCCGCGTGTGCGTGAGACACATGCCCACGTGACCCTGTGAGGTCCCAGTGACGCACCGGATCTGGCTGGTCTGTTCTTCAATGGCCTCCACCGCACTCTCCACGGAGCTCAGCAGCGACTGGATCTGATTGGCCGTCTCCTTCAGGAGAAAGCGGGTCACAAACTGGTCCACGTTGCTCCCGCCCTCGTACACCTGTGGAGGGCAAGAAAGGGGCACACGTGGCAAAGGGGTTAGGGAGGGAACTTGGGTGTGGGGTCTGGCACAGAGCGGGACGGGGGG